TTGCCCTGATGCCCCTGATTAAGTGTTATACTAACAGAGCATCTGTGAGCATCTAGGCTATCATTCTTCCAAGCTTAAAAAACCATCTCAGTATGAAATGGAGCTTCTTTGCTGAGCTCCAGTCTGCTGACCTATACTCATATTATAGTACTCAAGACCAAACGGAGGATAAGGAGGTGTCTGTTATTCTCATTTGTCGGTTAAATCAGAAAAGACATCACTGGGGTGATTTACATCATGATGCAGATTGACCCAAATGATAAAAATTGCTATGGGAATGTAGTCTGTTGCTTGTGAAATCTGTTGTATAGAGGTTCAGTAAATCAGAGTTTCACTATATTTTGTTAGTTTTTACTTTTATAACTTTTTTAGTTTGAAAGCTGGGCGTGGGGGGACAACAGTTGTCTATTTTTGCCTTAGATTAGTCAATTAAGGAGTTAAAGAGGGCCAAAGATTTTCTGATTGCAAGAAAGCCACCATCTTGGCGGCTTCCCTCTTCGCAATTCACTGGCTGCGTTTGCATCATGCACCTAGCCTCCAAAATACACAACCACACTTTAGTTTCACATGGTGTGCAAACCCTACCACCTGGTGTTAGCTTGTAATGCACTGCACATATGGTCTACAGAGTTAGTTGAATAAACCAAGATAACCATGGATAAGTTGGCAACATTGTAGTAAGGATGGTTTTCCCCAGCTGGGTAACTTCAGAAGGAGCAAAGCAACACTGCTTTAGTTGGTCCTTGGTTGTAATGCCAGCTTCTTGCAGAAAATTTAACTAACCGTGGCATTTATTATTTTCACTCTTTCATAAAATATATCTGTTGATTGCAGACTTTCTGTTGAGATCTCTGTCTAATGGTTCAAAAAGGTGTGATTGAATAACTGGTTGAGGAATCATTTTCAGTCTCCTTTTTGCCTGATTGATTTTCCAAGTAGCCAAGCTTGCTGGGGTCATAAAATCATGTTGTGTTTTGTAATTTAAATGCAAAATGCTTGTTCAGGAGCTTAGTTCATCCTTGCTCCACCTTACACTGTTGGCTTGTGTGAGAACCTCTAGATGGTTGGGAACCTGATGAAACCCTTGGAGTTGAGCGGGTGGGTCTGGCAGGGCACTGATGCAGGTATGGAATGTAGGACCATAGTGTAAATACCACAACTAGTTGTGACTCTGGACAGGATTAAACTGAAGCAGGAAAATAGGTTTTCCAAACAGAAGGGCAAAACAAGGGATAATTTGCCTTATTTTTAAAGTCTGCGTGCCTCCCTAGTGTCTTAGAAGCTATCCTAAGTTTTGCATCATCCTTTGATATTTTCAGGGGATGTTTTAATGTTGCTTAATACTTTTTCATTTCCTTCTGCACGGTGTTGTTCAAGGGAAGCTTTTATAAATAATAACTGATTTTATTCCAGTTAGCAAAATTATAACCCTGACATGTTGGTAGTTGACAGAAATGCAAACCATTTCAGTCAATTGGAATGGCGTTGATTTTAGGGTCATCATTTTTTGCTGTCTGTACTCTGCTTTAATTGGCTTTAATTATGCGGCATCTCACAATTTAAAAACATCAAATTTCAGTTTTATGACATCCATTTTGGAAAAGTTATCCTTATGTGCTTTCTTTTAAAGAGGGTTTTCACTAAAACCTGATTGCTCAACTGGAAGGCAGCAAAGACAGAAACCATTTTAAAATTATGTAAATCCTGTTTCATTAATACAAGTTAAAATAGCATTAAAATCCTCTGGTATAAAAGCTGCTACATGCAACCATTGCAAACTCAGGAATTAACAATTCTATGCTTCCACATGATGCTGTCTTAAACATGGAGTCTTACTATGATCATCTTCAATTAGGGATGTGCCAAATGTGGTAGGAGAAAACATAACCAGTTTGGAGGGAAATGGAAACAACAGACTATGTTGTTTCTGGTGACCCACAGTTCTATTTGTTTGCTTCCAGATGTGGAAAAAATATTAGCCATAATACAGTGAAGTCAGGATCCATTTTTGTGCTGGAAAGCAGAGATTTTGGACTTTTGCTTTGTGGAAAAAGACAAGTTGCATTGGTGTTTGAGATTTATTGGAAAATTAACTGTGGCCTACTCCAGAAAAACTTCCCCCACATCATCCATGTAGTTGGTAATGCTGCCTAGTTTTGGTAAAGCAGCTTAAATGCTGTTTTAAGAATTAAGTGGAAAAAAAGGGAGAGATCCCTTTCCTCTTTGCTTTTAATCCCATTTCATTTTTTTTTTTACTTCCTTCCACCTAAAAACTGGGAGAATTAATAGGGAATTTAAACTGAGTGAGTGGATTAGTGCTGGCACTGTATAATGGGCCAACACAAACATAACTGGCACAAGTTGTGTTCTTCACCTCACAAACTGTGTGAGATGTTCTTGGTTGAAGGCACCAAGGATACTTGCACAAGAATTGGCATTGCCCTTCTGGAATCACTGGAGAGATGGTGTAAGATTTCAAGACCCTTCCATCAGAGATGCTCAACAAGAAGTAAGGTCCCCTTTCACTACTCCAAGGCATGATGCCACAGGATGCTACAGTGCTGTAGAACTTCTTGTTTTAAGAACTGTAGCTACAAACTGGCAAAGGTGGAAGTTCACCTCTGAGTGAAACTTGAATCAAGCTATGATATCATGTATGTCTTGAATGTCAAGAAGACAAAGTTGAGTTGCCACCAGGACAAGTGGAATTCTAAGAAAGACAAACTTTTGGTAGACCACCTGACAACACAATTGATGTGCCATCTGAAGTCTTGAGTACTGAAACCCCCTATGTGCTGGCAAGCCTGTGGAACCCAAGAGTGAAAGGAAGCGTCGGAAAGGACAGTCTCTCATAGTAGAGGACCTCTTCCTTGCAGAGGAGAAGGGATTAACTACTGCCTGGAGGAGGGACTGAAATGTCAGGTGCAGTGCCATCCCCAACAGCAGGATGGGGTCCAGCTCCAGCGGTGGACTTCCTGTGGAACCATAAGCATTACCAACTTCCACATCTCAGGGTATTCTTGGCTCATTGTCAAAGAGAAGGAGAGGATATTCATGTGTAAATAAGAAAGCTATTTATAGACTATGCTGAAGTAATCCAGTTGCTTATCACCTGCTTCCTTGTTAGCTGTTAATGCAGGCAGCATATTCAACTATTGCTTCTGTTGTTCACAATGGGGAATTCAAGCATCTTATTATTATTCTTGTTGGTCGCACAGTCAGCCAGATGTTTAGACTGGATTTAGCATTTTAATCCACCTATCGAGTCCTTCCCAAGGATCTGGGATAGGCAGATGTTGTTTGATGGCATTAAAGGTATCGTCATAGGATGTAAGCTGTTCCAAGTAAAGGTGCCTACCTCACTATCTACTTTTGCAGCCATAGGTTGAAAAATGAAGTTGCAAGTTCTCATTATTCTCTGTAGACAGATAGTGTAACCCCAGTGTGTTTTCATACCACATTTCTCCTTGATTTTCATACGACAAAACTCAGTTAAGAAGGGAACCAATGAAATAGCTACCTAAATGGCAGATCTAATAAATAGCAGAAATAAGAACATTATATATTGATGGAACATCTTATGAAAAATCAACATTTCCTGAGCCAATTTCCTTCAATTTAGGAATTGAAGCTATAATAGCTATTGTAATATAATATTGCATTATTTCTAATCTAATCATATTGCAATAGAAGCAATTCCAATTTTTGATTGGGTGTAAGGATTCATTCCTCTGTATTGATTGGTCTTACGAATTAAATACTATTTTCCATAATTTCCTTATAGGTTTCTCTTTTCCTTTTCCTCTTTCTTTTTGGCTTGGAGAAATATTGAAAATTCATTTATGCCTCAGAAACTTTACTACCAAATACTGGAGAAGCTGGATAAGTAGAGTTTTTATATTTTAAATGAATCATTTAAATCTCAGCATTACAGTTCTTCAATTCTTTGTGCAGATGTTTTGTACTGAATGCCCTGAGCAGATTAATTTTGTATTTCATATGGAATGCAATTTCACTTCCTTTTGAAAACATCTTACTGCTGACGAATGAGGCCTTGAACATCTGCATGAAGGCTTGAAACTTTAGAAATAAGTATGAGGTTGATCACTATAGAAGCTCCATATTCTCAACTGAACTTCTGGAATGGGTGGTTGATTTGGGAAAGTATTTGGAACCTGAAGTCTGTCTCTGTTAGGTGTTTGGAGGGAGAGAGAGGAAACAGAGAAGGCGGCTATAGTAGTTGGGTATCTCTGGAACCATCTTGGGGAAAGAGAGATTGCTACAAGTAAAGTAGGAATGCTAGACAGGATAAAATTAGGAATGGGGGGTGGAATCCAGATTTAGGGATTGATGACACAAACTGGATTGTTGAAAGTCTTGTGGGCACCCTCACAAAATGATTGACCGGAAGGGGGGGGCGTTCATTTATAAAATGACTGCCATAATGGTGGTCATCAAGTTATGAAACTTACCTATTTTCCAGGAAGCAAATGAGGGACACTAAAATAAATCTGACTTTCATGGGGACCTACATACAAAGCAGAGGCGGATTTTAAGGCCTGCAAGATAAGATCACTGATTTTGTTATTCTCTTGTGGGGGCACCATACTGGAGACCCTAGAGATAGAAACTTAGGATATTTACTTCATCTCAGATACAGTTGGTAGACTATCCCTCTTATTTCTGCCAATCCATGGACAAATTGCAATTATATTATGCAGCAATTTACAGCTATGGTTTACTGGGATTGTTCAAACTACCCATTATGATTTGCAAACCAGGGATTAAAGCTTAAAGCATTGTGTGAACCAGCCAGTAGTAATCTATTCAATAACCCATAGCTAAATCATGATTTAACATTACATGACCATAACCATACTATTATTTAAAAGCATGGTGGCTGTTCACTCTAACCTTTTGCTTCTAGGCCTTTTGGCTAAGATCAAGTGTAATATCTCATCTCTCATTGTTTTGGCAGGTCTTGTTTTAGGACATATTTGGATTAATCAGCCTGGGGAGAAAGGACGTGACTGAAATGTCTTTTCAGGAGAAATGATACTAGCTTGGCTGTTAGCAACTCCAAAGGTGAGGTTAGTAGATACCACTTGCCTGAATTTTGAATTTGATAAATTGTTGTTGAAATAATCTGGGAGCAATAGAAGAGAAAATCTGGGGGCATTTATCAACATGTTGCATTTTATGGTGTAGCCCAGTAAACATAGTGTGATGCAATAAAAGATGTGTTTGCATATAGGAATCGTCACTTTCTGCATCTCAGCAGGTGTCAGTGGCTGGAAGCCCTTCTCTGGATTTAGAAGCTAAGCAGGGTCAACCCTGGTTGGTATTTGAATGGGAGACTGACAGGGAAGTTGAAAAGATATTCCAGAAGAAGGTGATGGCACATCACTGTACCAACTGCCTCCAGAAACTCTTGATGTGGGGTTGGTTGCCATGAAAACTGCATCATCTTGTCCTTTAAATTATCAAGTTTGACTTGAAAGACACTTTACCCCAGTTTGGAAATTCTGCTCAGAATTCCACAGTCCATTGCACTGATTTTTCAGCTGCATTGCGGTGTACCATGGAGACTCAGGGAGAAAGAAAGAAGGCAGAGATACTGCCATTCTCATGTTAAAATGGCAAATGTTACATCTATAAATGCAGATCCAGGGTTGATGAATGGTCAATCCCAAACCCCATTTTTAATGATGAAAAAAATGTTAACAGTGGAACAATTGCTCTAAATGTTAGTTGTTCTGCAAGAACCTAGTGGTGTTTCCTTCTTTCCTTTGTAATAAAAGGACTTATATAATGGATACAGATCTTCTGATATGCTTTCCCATAAGATACCAAATATTGAAAATTTCACAGGATATTATATCCATTCGGGGGGGGGGG